ACGACATTCCCATCTTCCCTTCTTCTTCGTCTAACCCCACCTCCTTCGTCTGTGTATGGTTGGGGCTGGCGCAGTCTTCTTGTGTGAAGCGCCAGACCCCTTTGCACCATGATGATGATGATGTATGTTCGGGGCTGCATTACAATATTGATTGTTCGGTTCATTGGTATCTAAGTCTTCCGCTGTGCTATCTTATACCTTGTATTGAAAGGTCGGTTCTTGTTCTGGTCTGCACCTATACGGTATGCAACAGTTTGGTATCGGAGCGGACCTCTCATTCAAAGGACCCGCTCAATAAGTAGCAAGCTTGCTTGATCTAGTGATCACTCATTAGTAAATCAAGTAGGACTTAGTCAAATCTCTGAAAAAAAAATTCTTTTCTCGCAACAACTATCTGAAAATTTCTGATATTAGTATTTTGTTTCCACGTAACAAATATCTGAAAATTTCTGATAAGTCGCATTTTGTTTTGTCTGAAAATTCCCGATAGTAGCATTTCGTTTTTCTGATATTCACATTTCGTTTTACCTGAAAATTTCTGATATTAGTATTTCGTTTTCACGTGACAAATATCTGAAAATCTCTGATAAATCGCATTTCGTTTTGTCTGAAAATTCCGATAGTAGCATTTCGTTTCTCTGATATTTCGCATACACAGCTGAAATTTCTGAAGTTAATATTTCGTTTTCTAGGTATAATGGGAGAACGATAGAAGTGGTCATATTCTCGGAAACCGAAATTATTCTGAAAATCGAATTTCCATTCTATCTCGCAAATTTTTTTTTTTGAAAACCGAAATCTTGCGGAGCCTACCAACTTTCGGTAGGCATATTCAGAGGTTGCCATATTCTCAGAAACTGCATTCGTTCTTTCTGAAAATCGCATCTTTACTCTATTACGCAAATTTTTTTTTTCAAAGATCGAGACTTTGCGGAACCTAGCCTAGATCTCGTTCATAATACTCTTTTGACATGTCTCACTCATAATAGATCGACAGATATACAAAAAAAAAGAAAAAGAAAAAAAGAAGGAAGTAGTCCTTTTTTATTTTTTTATTTTTTTATCCGTTGATTAGGGCCGGGGGCAAGTATTGTTGGGTTGTTTTCCTACCTACGTTTTCCCCCACCCACTCCTCTGCACGCATTCCAGGTTGGTACAGTGACACGTCAGCAGTGCCACGTCAGACACAGTGCCACGTCAGCAGTGCCACATAAGCAGTGCCACATAAGCAGTGCCACGTCAGCAGTGCCACGTCAGCAGTGCCACGTCAGCCAGCAGTGCCCTGCCACCATGACGGGTGCAGCTCTGGGCATGCCAGGCCAACTGGCCAACGAGTCCATTGCCGACTACAAAAAGTGTTTTCAGATTCAGCTCGCTGCAATCGAGGCGAAGGAACAACGCCAGCTGGCAGTCAAGGCTGCCCAGCTGCAGGCTGAAGAACGGCAACAGCAGAGAAGCTGCGGCTACAGGCCGAAGTAGACACAAATGCCCAGGCTCGCCGCAAGGAAACCCAGGATCTGCTGCTGCGGCATGAAGCCAACATCATCGACAGACTCAAATACTGGCACTTTGAACCGAACGGCGACGAGGCAACACCGAAAGAGCAGCATAAGGAGTTCATGGCCAAGCTTGTGACCAGGTTGGTTTATACTTGTAACCACCTTCAGTCCGAGCTGGCGAACCTCCAGCGGGCCGTGCGGAACCATAAGACTCAGCACGAGGATGCCACACGAGCACAGGATGCCCGTGTACTGGACCTGGAACGAGCTGTACCAGGACCAGATGCTGGGGCTTCCAGCAGTGCATCCTCTAGCCGCCAATTGGAGGAACGCGTTGACCACGTAGTGGCAATGCTAGGAGACATAAGTGCCTTCACAGAGCCGGCCACCATCAGCCAGCGGTTCGAGTTGCTGGACACTAAGATCAGTCAGCAACAGCCGACCGACCACAGCCACAACAACAGCTCGGCAAGGCCATACAAGATGCCGNAGCAACAGCCGACCGACCACAGCCACAACAACAGCTCGGCAAGGCCATACAAGATGCCGACGTTCCGGATCGAGAAATTTGATGACTACACACATCAAGACCCGGTCGTCTGGTGGCAAGGATTTACAACGGAGTTGGGGATCCACGAGGTCCCTGACCATCTGTTCATCAGTGCTCTGTTCATCAACACCAAGGGAGGATGTCAGATCTGGCTCAGCCACATGGCAACCATCCACGGCATCCAGGTTTCAGACCTGCATAAGAAGGTCTCCTGGGAGGATATGACAAAGGAATGGAAGAAGCGGTTCATAGTGGATGACGCGCCTGCGCTCGCCATCAACCGCATCTTCGCGAAGGCTCAAGGGAGCACACCGACACGTGATTGGCTCACGGATTGGCAGAAGATCGTGGCCACGCCCGATATGGACCTGCCATTTTCGCATCTGCGCCGTGAGTTCTACAACAGGTCATGCGCCGCTCTGAGCCTCGCACTTGCTGATCGCGAGTAGTACCACACTTTCGCAGAGATCATCAACAAGGCGAGAGAGATCATAAAGACCAACAGGGCGGCCGCACACGAAAAGTCAACGTGGCAGCCAACCTATGTGGAGAAGGTACGAACTGGTCCGCGACAGCAGCAGTTCGCTGCAGTCCAATCGGACAGTGGAGAAGACCCAGCAGCCACTCCAGCATCACGTGAGGGAGATCAAGTGGCTGCTGTCCAGCCGCGAAGCAACAAGCCCCGAGTGAACGGGAAGGCGAAACCAGCATCGCAGGCCGGAAACGGACAGCCAGCACCACCATGGGTCAAGTTTGGCTTGACCGAGGCCGAGTACAAGACCGCAACCGTTACGGCTGCTGTTACTGGTGCAATAGCACCAAGCACAAGACTTCCATTTGCCAAGATCAGGCCAAGGAGGATGTGCGGCCTCGTCTTAACTCGGGAAACTGAGTTGCGCAGGAGGTGAGGCGACTCCACCTCTCACTCCGCCAGATTCGGCCGCCTTGCTAGCGGCCTCCTACACATCTGGGGAGGATGCGCATGTCGCAAGTCCTCGGTACAMTTACGAGGATTATGCTGTCCACTTGGTCCCACCGCTGACCAACCGCTCCACGTGCAACAATCTACCGCATGCACGGTTTCATCACCATCGGCAACCGATTCGGCAGCTTCGCCGCTATCTATCGTCGGGGATTCATCGTCGTGGTCAAGACTTGAGGTGCTCGACCCACTGACGCTCACGGACTTCCAGTGGATGCCCGTTCCCCTGACTGGACGATTGCCGAAACCACATTACAATGTGCTCATGGCACAACTGCGAGATTACTTGCACACTGCAGTACCGACTCCGTTGATGGACGCCGGAGTAGAGGTTGTCGACCTTCACGCCTACAGTGCGAAGATCGACCACGAGTTCAAGACACAACGGTACGACGACATCGACGCACCATTGCTATATGTACGCATTCAGATCGGAGAGGCGACCTGCAGCGCTTTGATCGATTGCGGAAGCACTCGCAACTATATGGGCCACAGATTTTCGGTGCGCAATGGCTTGGGGCCACGCGTTCGGAGGAAGTCGCAGCCCACGCAAGTCACGTTGCGGAAGCACTCGCAACTATATGGGCCACAGATTTCCGGTGCGCAATGGCTTGGGGCCACGCGTTCGGAGGAAGTCATAGCCCACGCAAGACACGTTGGCCGACGGTTACACGCACAAGTCAATCGACCGGTGCATTTGACCCCGTCCTCGTGTACTTCGCCCCGCATGTACCCGAGGCCGTGTCCTTCGACATTTTGGACACCAAGTTCGCAGATTTGCAAGCATCGGCACCGCTGATCTACGACGGCTACGAGCGACGAAGACCAGCTAAGGAAGCTTCGCAAACCTGCCCCTCCCACCCGGACTGTGGTCCCTCCCTCAGACAGACAGCTTCGCCCTCGCAGGTAAGCTCGGTCTT